CCCCAAAACCCCAAAACCCCAAAACCCCAAAACCCCAAAACCCCAATGAACATAGGGCTTATTGAAAATCAGGGATTATATAAATATTTATTCAGCGCAATGTCTGTCTATAATGGCTTTGGTACCAGAGGTCAAGAGACCAAGTACAATAAGTACCTCTACAACCTCTGATTTCTCGTTCAACATTCTATGACAGAGATGCTGAGTGAGGAAGCTAAGTTTGATGAGTACAGATTCAAATAAATACTTTGTCAAAATCATAACACGGATGAGAGAGCTTGAAAGAGCCAAGTACTTGCCTCCTAAGTTTTCTTATGCCTTTGAGAATCTCTGTGAGCATTATAATATCGAGTTGCCTGAGTATACCCAGACCAACTCCAATCAGAGGCTGATAAAGACTAGTTATAACAAGAGACTTAAGAAAAGTAGTTCGAAGGGTTCGAGTAGTGCTAGCTCTACGACAGGGAGTATGCTCGGCTATTTCCGTAAAAATCGACCTAAGTATAATAAGTCTATCTATTCCAGTGAGTCAAGCATGAGCGTAAATTCTCGGACTGGAAGAATCCCAAAACATAAGACTTCAAGAAAGAATCTTAGAAGCGGAAAAGGTGTCAGAATTCGATTGACAAAGAAGAGTTAGTGACATGGCTAAATATTTTAGAAAACAAGAGAATTCATACAAAATCAGTCCAAGGCCACTCAATGTCCAGTGTCAACTCATCCATTAATAGCCCTGGAGGGGTTATTAATGAGCGAAGCGACTCTGAAAGTGAAGGGATGGCTAAGACTGAATATCAAAAGTTCGAAACTGCTTCTAAAGCTCCTAAACGCCCACTTAGAAGTTCAGCAAAAGAAGTATCAAAATCGTCGAATCATTACTCGATCCCTAATAAAACTGCCTACAACTCAGCGTTTCCGAATCTCAAGACTGAAAAAGTATCCAACAGACTAGTGAAGCGGAAGAACAAGGATCCTTCCGAAATTGGGTACCTAAATTTCCCGACAAGATCGACCCACAAGATTAGTCAGATGAGCAATGAAGCCTTAATGAAGAAAAACATGGAGAAACTAAAGAACGAGATGCTCCAAAAATCAGCAGCTGTGGGAGGTGCCCTCACCCAATTCAAGAAGAGGAAGCAGAGAAGAATGATCAAGCAGATGATGAACGAAGAGAATAATGGGTATGGAATAGAGTAAGCTAACCCATGATAGGAGCTATCTTTATTCTCATGTTACACCAGCCTTCGATGACCTCCTTTTGAGCATTTCATGAAGCTTATTTTGGGATACCCCATTTATACTAACCACATTCGTTTAGATCTTATGATCCAAAAGAAACCATGAAGCAGATCCAAGAGAGAAAGCACTCTTTACGAGCACAATATCATAGTGCTGGTGGCAGGAAAATCGATTTTTATTAATATATGGGGTATTTAAATCAATATAGGGCTACAGCAAGGGGTTTTGGGGTTTTGGGGTTTTGGGGTTTTGGGG